GAAGTTCACTAGCACTTCCAGAGCAAGAAGTTGAAACGCCCATGGAAAGCAATGACCACTTTTTATTGAGTTTACAATTTTATTATTGATTTTAGGCGACAAAATCTTTTATCTTGGTATATTTCACAAAAGTAAACTCCATCGACACTTCATATTTTTGTTGGACGAAGGGTACATTGCGGGACATGAACTGTTTGCAATTGAAAGGACATACCTGGCTTTTCTTCTTTGTTCTGTTGTTTTTTTTTTTTAAACGTTTGTGTGTGTGTGAAGCAGACCTGGCTAGCTAATGCCTCACGGATTGCTCCTCAATAAACTGTCAGCATAAGAACAGGTAGATCTTTGAATCAGATGTTGAAGCCAAATATATGGAAACCCATTCATGTGTCTAACCAGTATAGCCGCCTAAAATTGTAACAGTTACATTGGAAATGCGTAATTTACCTCCAGTCTGAAGTGCTTTATCACGCCATAGAGGGTTCTCCTCAAGAAACTTCTCAAATGCAAGTATCTTCTGTGGTATTCCCTTAATCATATCGAGACGATCAACCCCTAGCATCACCTATTAAAGAGTAGGACGTTTACATTCAAGAATGAAGAAACTAAGCCAGTGACTTTTAATCAGTAGGTTGCTTTCTCTTAAGCAAGTAAAACAGCATATGTAGTTTAAATTCAGGTTAAACCTTACGGCCACGAAACCTTTCCATCAGTTCTTTTATGTGCTCCAGCACCTTAGGGAGCTTAAGCGCTGATATAACCCTTTCTGAATCTATCCCTATTGGAAACTGAACATACAGGAGAGTGCTACAATACTTGGTCTAGTAAGGGCTTACCCTACTAAATCTGCCACGAGAACTGAACGAAGTAGCTCTGATCTATTTAGATGACTTTTATGTTCTATTTAGATTATTTTTATGTTCTGTTTAGAACCCATCTATCAACAAAGGCCAGATCTGTCAACAAACACTCGAGGCTTAGATACCTGTTTTCGATCCCCATTACCTTGCTTGTGCTGCTCCCATTCATGGCCTCCTCGAAGCACCTTAACTCCTCGAAGTTCCTTCAAGTTCCTCCTCCTCCCCCGATTCGCAAGCCTCAAATCAACATGAAAACAAAACGAAATAAAAGAAACGAGTTCAGAAACCCAACGTTTGGACTCGGTAATTGGGGAGTGTCCAGTCATGTGCTGATTTTTATAGGAACTCAAAGAAACGAAATGAAAACTTGCATAGCAACTACCTGCAATCGTTCCTTAGGGGGCCTTTTTAATCCGAGGGAATGAGACCATAGCTGCCGCTCTTACCAATCCAGATTTGTTTTGTATGCATCTCGTGCCAAACAAAGAGGAAATCAATTTCTACCAAACAAAAAAAAAAGAGCAAATCAAAGAACTGAAAACGAAAACCAAAAATTCGGGGAAGGAAAAGGAGAAGGAAACGCGAGATATCACTAACTCTTTATCTTACAGTTGGAGCATATTCGCCTAACACAACCGATAGGAACATCCCCAAATCCACCAGGTTTCATCAACCGCGCAACTCATCGGCAGCTACGCGGAACCGCCGTCGCCAGTCGATGGAATGATTGGAATCGTCAACTCTCTCTTCTCGTCGGCAGAAACGCGGAACCGCCATCGCCTCTCTATCTCTCTCTCTCTCTCTCTCTCTCTCAGATTGACGACATGCAAGATAGAATGAGAATGGGGGGTCAGAATGAAGGAAACGTTTCTGGGGGACGAATTCAAAAGACACGCAAATTTTTGGCGGAAAAAAAAAGCGCTATTCTGAGAAGGTAAAAGCCAAATTTTAACAATTTTGAGTTTTCTTTTTACGTTGCATTTTGCCGCTACCATGTACACTTTTTCTTACTCATTTTTGTAATGAAAAATTAGAGAATGGATGGTTATTACTTTTTTCAATTCACCACAAAATAAAATTTATCATAGTTTCAATATTAAAATATGAAATTAATTTCGTATATAACTGATAGACCCAATATCAGGGACGGAGCCAGGATTTAAAATTAGGGGGGGCTGACAAATATTTTTTCCTTTTTCCCATGATATACTGAAGAAGTTGACGAATTTTTACTCCTTTAACAACGGAAAAAAATACATGATTAATAATTCATGGATAAGATTCCATCTTTTATTGCAATCAAAAACAATTACGGTCACAAGGACATTCATTGAAATCAAAATTGAAATCAATTTGGCACAACATTCTGTAAGTTAATGGTGTTGGTATCTACTATTGGTTAAAACATTGGGTTTGGGTGCTCTCCCCTCCAAAATAACCCCATCAAACCAAATTACATCCATGGAATGGTTTCTTAAAGCTAAACCCATGTGGATGACGATTTCTATTTGCTTACCTCCAACCAAATGATGTATTAACACATTACACATCATCACCTGCCATTTTCCATGTGTACGAATTATTATGAGCAATTAGTTGATGGATGGTAATGGACCCCTTACCTGTCAACACCAACGTGGCCTTAAGAAAAAATGAGGTGGAAATTCTACCGCCCACCATTTACCACATACACATGAATTAAAAAGATCACTTTCCCATGCCTCCACATACAAAAGGCAAGGTGGATGGGTGTGTTATTTACTCTCAATTAGTTGGAATTTAGCAAGAGAATTGGCCACAAAAAGAATCTCAATTCATCACTACCTACACTACTACACGTGCCCTGATGAGAAGAGATGTGGAGCAGGCAATTTTGATTATTGCCATCACAATAACATTTCCCCATCTTCCACATACTTATATACATGGGTTCTAGAGTCTAGAGATTAATTAATGCTGGAGTTTTACAATCTTTGGTTATACATAAATTTTGGTTGAGGTTATGAGTTTTCGACGAATTTAAGTGATATGATGAATTGACAATAATTTTCCAACATCTTAAATTCTAAATATTTATTGTAAAAAAAAAAAGTAAACCATCTCTTCATGTGTGGTCAACCTTTGTCTCAATTACAATTTACAACCACAATAAGCAAATACACTTTTCGATGTCTAGTTGTCACAAATAATTACATGCTTGCACTACAAGAAAAAAGAGTTTCAGCTACCATTTTCTTGGCAACCATAGAAAAATGGTTGCTTATAACCAAGTTTCGACAACCATTCACAAAATAGTTGGTAATGCCAAACTCTAGTGCAACCATTAATAAAATAGTCGCTGGTAATGGCCAGTTGATGCCTCAGGAAACCCAAACACTAACGACACAAATCAAACGTACCCCGCGGCAGAGCGCGAACTAATTCCTAGTATATATCAATAGTCATAAAAGCATAGGATCGTTTTACTTTGTATGATTGTATCCCTTGATAATAACAAAATGGATAAGATACAAAACCCACCACTAAAACAACATATCTATAACTATCAGTGTTGTCAAGTCAAAATTGATTATTGTCTATTTTTTTCTCAGTTTATGATAATATCTCAAAATTAAAATTTGAAACATAAGTGGCAGCTAAGCAGTAGAAAGGGATATAAAGGGATGGGGTTTTGGAAGAGAAACAGAGGGGTTTTGGAAGAGAACCTCTTTATTATATGTTTGTTACTTTGTTAGGATATAAAGGGATGTGCTAGAGTTTTAATTTGAGAAGGAAACTTATTAATTTGTTAAGTAAATAAGAGATAAAATTTGGTGCAACTAAAATCACGGCATATCTTTTCTCCTTCCCAATGTTGTTACACGGTTTAGTTGAAATTTGGGTTCATCTCTTTTTAATTCTTTAATATATTATTTTATTAATTATATATTATAATCATTATTTTTTGCAACACAATTTGGTAAAATGTTGGGTAAACTGTACTCATCTTGATCTTTGTGGGTTCATACGCAACCCTTGTGATTTATGTTGGGTTCACCCTTGATCTTTGTTCTTCTTTGTTAATTTTGTTAACTACAACAAATCAAAAGTTGGTTATTTGAATGAAATTTGTTAACCTATTACTAAAATTTTGTTAACTATTTTATTGAGTAATAACATAGCAACTAAATTAAGTGATAAATTTAGTAACTAAATTAACTCCTCTCAATTCCTACATCATTATTAACTACCTCAGCAAAAAAGATAAACTCATTTTAGTTTTGAGTTTGTTGGACCAAAGTAACAACAAAACACACGAGAATGGAATAAATTAAAAAAAAAATAGAAGAATTTTCTCAGATTCCAGTCGTATAATCATAGAGCTCCATTTAAATTGAACTTCCTTTTCTGTTTGGAATTAATGAAAAAAGAATAACAAAATTTCTATAACAGCAACCCACGTTCTCTCTCCTTTTCCTCCCAAACAAATCGAAGGAGAGCTTTCTACACTACTTCCAGATAGAAAGGAGAAAATCGAATAATGATATTATAAGAAGGGTTAAAAGCTAACGAGAGAAAGAAAACTAAACCTAAAAGTCCATTATTAAATGATAAATCTCCCACTTCTTGTTAATTGGAAAAAGCAATAACGGGTTATAAAGGAGAAAAAAACGCAATAACGAAAAGAACCATCCCACTTCCGTTCCGTTTCCATCTTCTTCCCATTTTGGTTGGCAATTAAAAAATTAATGCATATCCAATCATCAGGCGCCACGTGGGCTGGCAGCAGCTTCGGGCTGCAACCCAGGTTGCTGCCAAATTTTGCCCCTTTCTTTCCTCTTTCCTCTCCTCCCTTACTGTAGTTGCCTTAAAAAACGGAAGAGACGTTTTTGGTAGCCGCGCTTTCTGTTCCCTTTTTCCTTCCCCTCCCCTTTCCCCCCAACCAAGGTACATGCAATCCTTTGCTGAGAAGATTAGTCGAACAGAACAGAGTCTTGTCTTTTCCAATTCTGTGCTTTCTGTCCCCTTTTTCCTTCCCCTCCCCTTTCCGCTATATATTAATTCTCAAAACCATTCTTTGTTGAAGAGTCGACCCATTCCCTTTCTCTTCTTTGTGTTCAAAACTCTCAAAAATTCTCAAAATCCCCCCGCTTCCATCTGCAAATGTCGACGGTGAAACCATCTTCTTCGTGGATGGCCCAATTCAAACCGGGCGAGCGGGTCGAGGTCAGCTCCAACGACCGCGGGTTCCGCGGCTCCTGGTATGCCGGCACCGTCGTCCGCCGCGAGGCGAAGAACCCCAATCGTTACGTAGTCGAGTACGACCAGCTCTACGCGGACGAATCTGGGGAGAAGCTGCTGCAAGAAACCCTCGATTGGGTTCAATTGCGTCCGCCGCCGCCGCCTCCCGAGAAGAAGGTCCAGTTCAAGGTCGAAGACGAAGTGGAGGCCTTCTACAGCGACGGCTGGTGGGAAGGGGCTATTATTGCGGATCACTCCGGCGGGAAATTCGCGGTGTTCCTCAGAGGCTTTGACGAGGAGATTGTGTTGGAAGAGAAAGATTTGAGGTTGCCTGTTCAGTGGGAGCCGCGATTCGAACAGGTTCAGCGGGAGAAAGAGGTGAGCTAATTCGATTTTATGACTTTTCCTGCTCCGTTGCTTGGTATAACAATTTTAGGGAATTTTGAATCTCGATCTAGTTAGGTTGAGGAAAGTAGAGAATGTTGGGTATTAGCGGAATTTTTGGCTCTTGTTGCTTACAAACACAGAGATACAGAGACTTCTTTCTGTTTTTTATGTCTCTTCCCCATTGCACTATGACACACCCCATGCATACATATATAATACACAATTGAAGGTGATTAGGGGCTGTAATTTTTGACCTTTTGACTGTGGGTTTCAGGTTGCTTTCTTGTGCTGGCTTGTGAACCGCTTCTTGTTTTGTTTGGTTCCAGCCTCCCACTTTTGACATGGTTTTTTTCTTTTGGTGTGGGTTCGCAGGGGCTTTTCGGTTCGCCTAGCCCCCTTGTGCTTTTTGTTCTTTGGGTTTGTTTTTACTTAGCACGTCTTGTGCTGCTGGTCCCTTTTGTTTCTTGTACAGACTCTTTCTTTTTCTTGTTTTAATGCAATCATCACCATTATCAAAAAAAAAAAAAAAAAATACACAATTGAAGAAGAAAGATACTAATAGATTTACCCCATATACTCAATGCAAGTGAGCCCTCTTCCATCGTCATCTTCTCTTCCACGATACAACACAACACATGCATGAGTTAATACCAAATCCAATCATGTTCTCATGCATTGATATAGCCTTATCAATTTTGTCTTCAACTTCCAATCCACTTGCTGCAACTTGCTTGAATTAGTTTGATGATGTCTCTTACATGTGCTCTTGTTCTTCACGTCAACATTGGGGTAGATATTGATAATTGATCAATCAATAATATTAGGCCTACCATGTGAAGTGTTTTGGGGTAAATTTATTGCAAATTACCTTTTAACAGAGAATTGGGTGATCAGAGATGGCATTTGTTCTTTTTCACAATGTCTGAACCTCGTTGAATCGCTTCATAAACATGCAGATGTGGCTAAACTCAAACTTTTCCAAGGAAGTGATGAAGTTCACTCAAGGAATGCAAGTCGAGGTGCTAACTGACGAAGACGGTTTGAAAGGTGCTTGGTTTGCTGCAACAATTATTGAACCTTCGGGTGAAGACAAGTACCTTATTGAGTACAAAACCCTGAGGAATGATGATGATACTGAGTTTCTCAGAGAAGTCATTCGTGCTTGCAACATAAGGCCTTGTCCGCCGGAGATCATTGTTGTGGATGGATTCAAGGTGTGGGATGCAGTAGATGCTTACTACAACGAGGGCTGGTGGGTTGGCGTGATTGCAAAGGTCTTGATCAACTCCAATTACGAGGTTAGCTTTATAAAGTATGATGAGAAGACAACGTTCAATCTGGCTGATTTGAGGCCACATCAGGACTGGCTAAACGGCAAATGGGTTGTTCCTTAAGATGTCTGAATTTTATGCTCTCAATTCTCAAAACACTACTAGCTTTTCTAGTAAATGATATTAGTTGTAGGGGCCTGCACTCAATGCATCTCTTTCTATTGTGTTTCTTTTGTATGGGATTATGTTGGAATGAATCTTATCTTTTGATGTTGAATGCTCCTATTGCTTGTTCAAAATGATTTGTGTACGGACTCTCATCTCATGTGAGAGATCACCATTGTTTCTCACTAGCTTTAATGGCGGCCCGTTGGCCCGATTGAATATTGTCCACTCAAATGACAAACAAGTACTCATTTTTAATTGTCAAAGATTAGCCAGAGTTATCAATCAAACATGCCAAACTTCCGATACAAAAAAGTTTCATACATAGCAAACTGGATGTGTACTGTACTTCGAATAGTTGAGAACTCGTCTCTCTGGCTTCAATTTGGCAATATCCATAAATCCTATTTCGGGAAGGATTTGACATGACATTTCTGTGTTGGCCTATTTGGGGCAGTCTGTGAAGCACGACAACTTAACTCATAGAGGAAAGTCTAGAATCTTGGATGAAAGTGCAGCACCAGAAGCTTCATGTTTGCATTTAAAAGTTGTTCTCAAATGGAAGACAGTAAATTAGCGCTTTCCTATTGTGGAAATGCCAAATATAGACCATCTCCAACAACAATGGCAAAAAGCCAAAATTGTCAAAAACCCTCCTCCAACAACAAAGTTAAAATGGCAAAAAGCCAAAAATTGGGTATTTTCTGGCTAAATTTGGCTTAGAAACCGACAAAAAAAATGGGTAAATCTCATACCCCACTATCCCTATCGATTGACTCGCCGAACAAGCCAATTAAATCACACGCGCCCCGCGTTCCTCTTCCTTGTTTGAGCGTGAAGCAACTCCCTCTCTGGCAGCGGCTCTCCAACTTTGACATTGTTTTTTTTAATACTTTAATTAAAAAACCCATGAACATGTAAACCCCCCACGGTAAAGAAATAACATGTAAACCCCCTTTAAAAACCCATAATTAATGCAAAATCAATCTAATTAAGGGATTGTTTGCAGCTCTTGTATGAATCCACCAATTATTGTACTTTCGTCGTTAATGATATCATATTTAATGATAATTTTTAATGTCAAAATAAAAAAAAAATTATATCAAAATGTTCGTCCTTATTAATTATTACTACCTGTATACAAAGAATTTACAAACTACCTAATTAAAATGTAACCTATAATTAGACTCATCAAGCGGTCAATGCACAATTAATTAAATACTGTGATCTGAAAATTTGAGGAAAAAGAACTAACAATCAACATTTTATACATCAACTTATCTATTGCAAATTTGTATCATATTGCTACCTTTTAAATTTTGATAAGTGAAAATTGTAAGGTTAGTAGAGGTGGCCAAGGAATATATTTTACAACTATGTGTAACTCATACAAATATGAAGAAAAATAATGTACGGCAACATTATTTTCTTACATTAGTTAGTATTATATTCTAGCAACACATCCTTGAAATAACATTTTTCTTACATAAATTATCAAAATTCATTCATTTATCCTTTATATACAACATATATTATAATTTTCACGTTGATGTGAATGTGATTGTTTTTCCTTCATATGAAAACCACCTGTCATCCCAAATTACCAAAAGCCTACAAAAGTACAAATTAAAATGGAAAAAGAATGATCAAAGAAAAAAGATAGTAGAGGTAGCCAAGTGGCATCCTTCCTCTTCAACGTGTACAACATGCATATATTTAATTTACTGCATCCCCTGGTTATAGTATGGAAGGTCCTTCAAATTCTCACTCTCTCTCTAGCCCTCATTATCTAGCTTCTCTTCTCACCCATCCTCGGCCTTATTCACTCATTCAAAATGCTGAAGGGGGGAAGGGAAACCCGAGATGGGATGCGGGAGGTGATGGTGTAGAGAGGAAGGCCCAGTTCGGGCCCAAATTGGCGGGGTGGATAGCCCGGCTGACACAACAACAGAAGGTCTGCATATTAAAACGCACAACATCTGTAAGTTTGGGATGGAATTGTCACAAATACCCTTCCGTGAAACGCTCTCCTGCCACCAAATTCAAAATACTGAAAAATTAAACCTTGTTTTGCCTTTATATAGTTTGTAGATAGATAGATAGATGTAGACTCGTTTTTAAACAAAAAACAGGGAGGGAAAATGGGCCAATGGGGGATGGTTAGTTGGTCCCTATGTAAACAATGGGAGTTTCTTTAATCAATTTAATTTCCTATAGTTTAACACGTTGTAAACAATGAGAATACCAAGATCTGTTGAAAACGTTGTATGTCGTAAATTAATCTTGTATTACTAACCACGTTGTGTTAGAATTAAGCGTTGAAATGTTGCATTTTACAATTGTTGAATACGTAAACACCCTATGGGCAGTGGCTGAGCCACCTCTTGAGGAGAGGGGTCATAGGACTCAGTTGGGAAAAAACAGGGCAACAAAATTCTTCAGATATGTAAGGTTTAATATGATCCTTTGAATTTAGGACCTCATACTTTCGTTCATGTTAGCTCATCTAAGGACACCAATTAACTCAAACTTCATTAGATAAACGGAATTTTGCATTTTGAAAATAAAAAGGAGCCCAGTCAATTTAATGTATGGCTACCACACTCCCTACGACATACAACTCTACCAATGTTAGTATGACAACAACCATAAAACACAATGCTTGCTTTCGTACACAATAATTCAATTCTATTCAACAACTTATTTGGGCGACAAATGATCCCCAATTCGCATTACACTACATATCTAGGATCCCAAACCAGCCTTCTTGAAATTTGAGCTAACCTTGCTTCGAGTAGGAAGACATATCCATTGCATTGATTTTCATATTATCAACCCTCTTGCCTAAACTACCTTGGATATGTTTCTAAGTTCTATTTATTTGAACTTGGTTAAGTGTTAATTTGTGTTCTTTTCATTTATGAAATACCATTTGTTGCCTTTGTGAATTATCCATTTCTGTTTTTTGATTTGTGTTAAATTGGTTTGGCAATTGGCAGTCTCACTACATTATCTCATATAATGAATGGAAGAGATTTGGGACTAGAATACATTAATAGTAGCACTGTTATGTAATTCTTACGTTGTAATAATTCAATGGAATTAAAATAAATACTTTTGTAATAATAATAGAGGGAAAAATGAAAAAGGACTAATTTGTTCAAAGTACCATAACTAAATTAAATTCATATTTTACATCAAGTACCACCTCAAAAGGATAATAAACTTACAAAAGATAGTTGCGTTCACATATCCATTACGCTTACATATCCAAATAAAACGTACCCTAAAGACAAACCAAGTTATGTAGCCAGCCTTAATTGACAAATGTGTGGCATTTTCTAAATCAATATAGTGTAACAAGCATTAAGAACACAACTACATTAAGAACACAAATACCAATTGCTTCTACACAACATTTAGGATGACAATTACGTTTACAGAAACCTTTTGCTTCTCATACCAATGTCGATTAATTTCCTACCATATAATAACGTGATGCAACATAAGAATAACCAATATTAGGTTCAGTACGACAATCACTATCAATAAAGCTCGAATTACATGGATTCCATGATTAACTCTCCTTCCTTCAGCTAGCATAATTTCATGTGCCTTCATCCATCTTGATAGCTCTTCAGCCAAAAGTTTCTTCTCCTTCTTCCTCCTTTCCGCCTTACACTCAGCTAGCCTCAAACTTTCTTCAATATTCAAAGTCGAACACCCAATTTCAGAGTCATGGTGCTTATCTTCATCGACATTCATTCGCACCCACCTAAAAAAACGACAGTTCTTCTTCTCGTCCTGCACCATACGAGCATTTAACTTAGAACCCACATCAATGACAATTTCAAAACCCATATCTAAACACCTTACCATCCAAAATGGACACCCATAGAACTGTCTTCCTGGGTTCGCTTCGGTTCCAGATGTATTCACCACACATGGCTTCTTGTGCCAACAGAGTACCGTCCCTCGGCTATTGATGCTAGTCGAAGTTGAGGAAGATGCTCGCTTGGACATGGCTGACCTTCGCGTGAAGTTCCGGCCAGGAGAAATCGCGATTTCGGGGTCGCGAATCGGCCGAGCAGAAGTGGGATTTGGGGAAGAAGGAAGAAGCGCCGAGTCGTTCAGAAACTAGAAGAAGATTTGGGGAAGAGGAGTAAGCATCGATCAGCTTCGTGTATCTCCTTCGTGGGGAAGAGGAAATTTGGGAAGAACCCTAATTTCGTTTTCTAGAAACAGATGGAGAAGAAGGAAGCCCTAATTTCGTTTTCTGGAAATAGATGGGGATTTTTGGTAGCCTCGTGCGATCAGGTAGATGGGGAAAGTTTTAAATTTTTTTAATAATAAATAAATTATTAAGATGACGTGTCAATTTTTGCTTTGTTGTCGCTGACGTGGTTGATGATTTGGCGCCTCTTCAGCGAACCGTCAAATAAGTTGACGGAGTTATTAACGCCGTCATAATTTCTAACGAAAATGGCTATATCTGCCACGCAACATTAGGGGTGAACAAACATACCCGCAAACCGACCCACCCGTCCAAACCGACCCAACCCACCCGTATTTATCGCTAAAACAAAGATTTTGGGTTGGGTGAGGGTTTTGTTTTGTACAACCCGCCTCTTTTGGGTTGGGTTTGGATTTTGGATTACACACCCGTAGAACCCGACCCAACCCGGGTTTAGGGTTTTAGGGTTTAGTGGTTTAGGGTTTAGGGTTTAGGGTTCAGGGTTTAGGGTTTAGGGTTTTAGGGTTTAGGTTTGATTTTTTCCAAACCGTAGTGCATGGGTTGGGTGATAAAATGGCTAAACCCGGACCACCCGACCCATGTACACCCCTACGCAACATCTTTCAAAAGTGGCTATTAGTGGTATTTCGCCAAATGTGGCTATAAGTGGCACAAAGGTGGAAGTTTTGGCTATGCAAGTGTATTTTGCCTATAATTTATAATGACCGTTAGATTAGATCTACGGTAGAGAATCATACACGTATTCATTCCATAGCCTAACTCCGATTTAAAACTAGATCGTCTAACTGAAGCATGCCCTCACTATCAAATTGTATCGATTAAGATTTGCTATTGCTAATCTCAATAATCCAAATTGTACCAAATAAGATTTGCTATTGCTAATCTTATTCAGTTATGATAACCAATACATTTCCCAAACACTACAAATAGGTTTTAGTTAGAAGGCCATTAAAGATTTGCTATTGCAAACCTTAAATTGAAACTAATTAACATTTTATTAACAATGTTTTAACCAGGACAAAAACTGGTGTCTACAAGTAGTATGGAAGGTTTATTGTCCAAATGCATGGTATGCACATGTAGATAGCTTTTTTATATAATATAGTCACGGTAAAGCCATTGACTTCTATACAAAAATTGTCGTCGTCTTCATTTATTTTGCTTTACTTCCTTAATTATTTTTGTTGTTATGTTTAATTGTTACAACATATGTATAGAAAACGTGTACACTTAAACTATCAAAATACCTTTACAGCATTGATGGTTAAGATTTGCTATTATCATCGCAAGGTTGCCTGTTCGATTATCCATATTGTCTTATT